ACAAATAAATAAATAAATAAATAAATAAATAAATAAATAAATAAATAAATAAATAAATAAATAAATAAATAAATAAATAAATAAATAAATAAAATGGGCTAGCCAGTAGGGCTGCTATAGTGAACAGTCCAGTCTGTGAATAATTCTGGAAACTGAGCACTGCAGAGCAAGGTTGTGGCTGATCTTTGGTGAAAACATATACCTCTTGGGTTCCTGACTTCAGCTGTTCCAGGGTTCCAGCCTATCCATCTAGGAAAATAAGAAGCTACCTTATACCCAGATAAATAAATAAAATGGGCTAGCCAGTAGGGCTGCTATAGTGAACAGTCCAGTCTGTGAATAATTCTGGAAACTGAGCACTGCAGAGCAAGGTTGTGGCTGATCTTTGGTGAAAACATATACCTCTTGGGTTCCTGACTTCAGCTGTTCCAGGGTTCCAGCCTATCCATCTAGGAAAATAAGAAGCTACCTTATACCCAGACCTTGGAATGATGATTTTTTTTAAAACTGCAACTCCCAGAATCCTCCAGCCAGTCTGGTCATAGTGTGCAACCAATGAACTGTCTGGGTTGTACCACTGTAAATGACAAATAATCTCTCAGGTGAGGAGTGATTCTCTCATATGCAAAAAGCAAATCTTCGCTAATATAGAAAAATAGCCTGAAAGGGAGAAGATTTTTTTTACCTAATACAGTAGGTTTCTTAAAATGCTTGGCTTCCTTTCTTCCTTGTACAGACCAACAGGTAGCCAGATGAATGCATCTCTTCTTATTCTTTGTAGCTGTACAGAACACTCTCTTCCCCCATTATTGTTAAAGTGCTGTTCTCCGGTGGCACAGCACCTTAGCTCAATTGTGCAGTTACACAGAAGAATACAATGAAACCTTGAGGCACTCTGATTTCACTACTCCACTACTTTTTCACGCTTTTGTAAATAGTGCAATTTGGCCCTTCTTTGCTTGCCCAGGGTGGGAGGCCTCTTCACTGTTGGCCACAAGACGTCTCTCTGAACCATTATAACAATAGCCAGGCTGGCAATCTTTATGGAGATATTCTGTGGCCAGAATCCTGTTAAGAAAAACTGTATGGCAAGGGGCAATTGCACAGTGGATGTTCACTTCTGCCAACCTGTCCTTGTATATTTGGTCGTGGGACTCTTTGCATGCCTATTTTTACAACCAGAACATAACTGGTTGTATGAAAGGTGATCTCACCAGAGGAGAGAAACAGTGCTTAAGCCATCAAGGGTCTGGTCTGCATTTGTTTGAATTAGAAATGGAGAAGTAATGCCCTTCAGAGGCTTTTGACTACAGCTCCCACAGTCTCGTGGGCCACCCTGCCTGGGGATGATAGGAGTTGTTGTAAACTGAAACATCTGGAGGGTCAACAGTTCCCCACTACTGGTTTGAAATGTAATAGCAAAAAGTGTTAGTAATTATGTATACTTCTAGTTGCTTTCCAGTTTATGGCAAACATCTTATGATTTTCTAGGTACGAACTACCCAGATGTGGTTTAGCAGATCCGGTAGTGCACTGGAACTGTGCAGCTTTTCCAAGCCTGTACAGGTAGCAGGGCACATAACACTGCCTTCCTGGGAGTCAGAGCAGGGATTGATTGATTGATGGATGGATGGATGGATGGATGGATGGATGGATGTATTTATTTATTTATTTATTTATTTATTTATTGTCTGCCCATCTAGTCATATAGACTACTCTGGGCGGGTAACAACATTTCATGTACCGTAATAATTTACAGTTTAAAATCATGACAATACAGTATATTACTAAGAAACACAATTCTAAGTCCCAGCTCTAGCCCAGGCACTCCAACCCACTAAGATAAACAAGCTCAGCAGAAGTTATGACTGGGTGACTTGCTAAAGTCATTCAGTTGTCATTTTAAAAGCATCATCATTATCATCTTAGAACTGCAGAGCTGGAAGGGACCCTATAGATCGCTGAGTCCAACCCCTGTCTAGGAGGTACAATGCAGAATACAATTCCCAACCTATGGCCCTGCAACCAGAGAGCTAAATCATTGAGCTATGCAACATAATTTCCTCCCCCTCTCCCTCCAAATGAATTTCTCAGTGAGGTTCTTGAAAGTGATATGTCTCATTAAATTATAATCTGGAACGGGTAGCAAAGCCATATCAGTGTTACCTTTCCAGTTCAAAGTAAATGGAGAAGCTGTTGCAAATCGAAAGTGTCTTTTGTGATAGTGGTGACTCATGCAGCTATTATGCTGAAGGAGTAACTTCTAGTTTCTCAGTCTCGTTCCTTATAAAAAATAAAATAATTTATGCATTACTTTTCATGTCTCAAAGGGACTTCCAGGGTAGTTCACATCATAAATTAAAATGATGCAACCAAACAAAAAATTGAAAACGAACTGTTATTAACAATTATTCATTGTAAATGGAACAGTTTTCTAACAGGAGCAAAGAAAAGACCAGAAGCTTGGCAAAACAAGAAGAGTCTTTATTAAATACAGTCATATGAAAAAGAAAGTACACTTCAAATTCTATGTTTTACGTATCAGGACATAATAAAAATCTTCTGCTCCTTAGCAGGTCTGAAATTAGATAAATACAACCTCAGATGAACGAGAACACATGACATATTATATTGTGCCATGATTTATTTACCAGTAATAAAAATACATCCAAAATGGAGAAGCCATGTGTGAAAAACTAAGTACTTATTCAGTAGTTTGTAGAACCACCCCTAGCAGCTATAACTAACTTGAAGTAATCATTTTCTCTATGGCTTTATCAGTCTCTCACATCATTGTGGAGGAATTCTGGCCACTATTCCTTACACAACATTGCTTCAGTTCCTTGAGGTTTGGGGGTATTTGTTTATACAGAGTTCTCTTAAGGTCCTGCCACAGCATTTGAATCTGTTTGAAGTCTATACTTTGACTGGGCCATTGCAACACGGAGATTCTTTTCCTTTTCAGCCATTCTGTTGTAGATTTGCTGGTGTGTTTTGGATCGTTATCCTCTTGCGCAACCCAATTTCAGCCAAGCTTTAGCTGTTCACTTTATGGCCTCATAGTTGACTCTAGAATACTTTGGTATACAGAATTTAGGGCTGACTCAATAACTGCAAGGTGCCCATGTCCTGTGACTGCAAAACAAGCCTAAGTTATCACCCCTCCATCATCCTGGTTGACAGTTGGTATGAAGAGTAATGCTGATATGCTGTGTTTGTTTTTTGCCAAATATGATGCTCTGCATTGTGGCCAAACATCTTCACTTTGGTCTCGTGTGTCCAAAGGACATTGTTCCAGAGTCTTGTGCTTTTTCAAGATGCAACTTTGCAAATTTAAGCCACGCTGCCATGTTCTTTTTAGAGAGAAGAGGCTTTATCTGGGCAGTCCTTCAAAACAAACCATACTTGTTCAGACTTTTTCTAATTGTACTGTCATTAACTTTAACATTTAACATGCTAACTGAGGCCTGCATAGTCTGAGATATAACTCTTGGTGTGTTTTTTTTTTACAATTTCTCTGAGCATTGCACGGTCTGACCTTGGGGTAAATGTGCTTTGACATTCAAGGAAGATTGGCAACTGTCTTGACTGTTTTCCACTTGTGAATAATCTTCCTCACTGTAGAATGATGGGCATTAAATTGTTTGGAAATGGCGTTATAACCCTTCCCAGACTGACGGGCAGCAACAATTGCTTCTCTACAATAATTGCTGATGTGTTTCTTCCCTGGCATTGTGTTAACACACACCTGCCAAGGTCCAGCAAACTGTTAAATTTTGGCTTTTACAGAGGTGGTCACAGTTGCTGATAATCAATTACTCAAGGGCATTTGGTTAGCGGTACCTGGCTGCTATTTAGCCTCTTAATTCCTGTGGAAGCAGAAAGGATATACGTACTTAGTTTTTCACACATGGCTTCCCTGTTTTGGCTTTATATTTGTTAAGTAAATTATGATACGGTGTAATATGTCATGTGTTGCTGTTCCTTTCAGGATGTATTTACCTATCGTTCAGATATGCTAAGGGCCAGATGATTTTTATTGTGTCCTGAAACGTAAAATCATAGAATTCAAAGAGGATGTACCTTTTTTTACATATGACTGTGGATGCAAAAGTCAATAAGAAAAATCCAAATTCAAATCCTTATTCATCTGATGTTGGGTTGGTTGTTCTTTCTTGAACTGATCATAAGTTTATTTCGTTATATCAGCCTTTTTAATCTTACACCGTCACTATCTGATGAACTGCAACTCCCATCATCATCAGCCAGCAGGACCATTGCCTTACTTGCCTGAGGGTGATAGAAGTTGTCGTATGACTTGTCTAACAGACATTGGGATGAGGAAGGGTATATTATCCCCATTGTTTTACAGATTTGGAGGGAGGACAGATCCTGTCTTAGGAATGCTAGCAGAAAAAAGTTTGAGTTGAAACACAGCTTTTTAACTATACGTCTTCGTTTTTACGCCAGCTATTTCTTGGCACAATAATGTGTCTAATTGCTTACGTTGGTATAGCGATCCTCTGTCAACATTGCAGTGGTCGACCTTTGTCTCTCAAGGTATTTCTGCTGGAATGAAGGTCTCCGTGTGAAATCTGGGCTGTTGTTGCCATTTGCACTTCCAACATGTCACCAAACAAATACTAGATATTCTTCAAGGGTTTAGAATTTCCACATGAATTTCTAAGTGATAAAGAGGATTTCTGAGATTTTTTTAAAAAAACAACAACAACAAGTAAAACACATTCTTCAATGAGAACAATAAACATAAGCTGAAATGGATTAACCGTCATAGCCTGAACACAAGCCAACTGCCCTGTGGTTTCCTAAGAGCCTGTGGTTGGGAAAGGAACAAAGAACTATCAATTGTGCTCACTGAATAAGCCCCACTGTGTTTAGTGGCTTCCGGTACTATGTAAAAGAACATTTGGATCTACAACTTGTATATTCTTAGAAGCATTAGCAATAACATGCTTAATAATTTCTTTTAAAATCATTTCAGGAGGACACTTCACTCCAGTTAAGAACTGCAGCAATCTGCTTGGCAGATTTCGACACCTCCATTCCCCAACCATCATGTCTTTTCACTACAACAAAGCCTTTGAAAACTCCGACCGCTCCTATTCTGATATGCTAGAGGATGAAAACTCAGACTATCACTATGCAGCAACACTGGAACTTGACAGAATGTAGGTCTGATATACGGCACGTAAGAATACTGTTGTATGGTTTGCGATTGGACACAGTAGATTTATGGGATCGCTGCAAAATTGCCAGCGGAATGAGCTTTTGCGTTCTCCAGATAACTTTATCAGATAAAGGTGGTTTAAAACTTAGGGTAAAGGCAGATGTTCTGCCCACAGCTTATGAAGCCTGATTGCCAATAAGACAATTTTTAAGAAAAGATTCCGCTTGAGGCAAAGCTGACTAGCATATAATTTTACAGTCTTTCCCACTCTGCAGACAAACAGTGAGTTTAGCTCTCTCCCTGCCACAGATCTGCCAGTAGCCTTTGGGTGAGGCAAGATCTCTTTGTGCAGCAGACAAACGTGAAAAACAAGTCTTAGCCTTTACATAATTAAATAGGAGAATAAATCTCCACATTGCAGGAGGAGGTTAAGGAATCACTTATACCCATTTAACTTCCTAGTGATCAAACAGGCATTAACAAATCTTGTATTGGATTTTTGTGGATAAATCTCACAGCAGTTTTTCTTGTATGTGCTTTTGGAAATACCATAATGGGCTACCTGGGAGAAATTCTGTTGTCAAGAATGGCTTTCCCATTAAGCTGAGCAACCCATCTCCTGTACCTCTAGTTATGACTAGAACTGTCATGTGTCAGTCCCATCATGTGTCAGTCCCATTGCACTGTTAGAGAACCCAAGATTGCACTGTTGTACATCTATTACTGGGTCCTGAGAGGTGTTTTTGGTATAGAGATGGCTCCCTGATAATGGTGTAAGAGACCATTCTTTCATCATTTCATGATTCCAGAGGTGTAAGAGACCATTCTTTCATCATTTCAACATTCCAGAGCCTATACAGTCGTGCCCCACTTAACAATTACCCTGCATTACAATGAATCCACTTCACAATGAAGTTTTTGCGATCGCAAAACAATGGTCTAAATAGGGTTTTTTCGCTTTGCAAAGATTGGTTCCCTGCTTCAGGAACCGATTCTTCGCATTACGACGATCAAAACAGCTGATCGTCGGGTTTTCAAATTGGCCGCCGGCTGCTCAAAATGTGCTGATTGTCGGGTTTTCAAATTGGCCACCGGGTGCTCAAAATGTGCTCAGGGATGGATTCCTCACTATACAGGCACCGAAAATGGCTGCTCTATGGAGGATCTTCGCTGGACACATTGGAATGCATTGAAAAGTTTTCAGTGGGCTTTAAAATTTCGCTTTACGGCATTTTCGCTCTACAGCGATTTCACTGGAACGAATTAACGTCGTTAAGCGAGGCACCGCTGTATATGGAACCAATATACAGAGCCTCTATCTATAATCCTAGAGACTTCTCGGAGAACAGGTGAGGTTCCGGATGATTGGAGATGGGCAAATATTGTCCCCATCTCCAGAATGGGGCAAAAGAGAAGCAAGGCAATTGCTGACAGGTCAGCTGGACATCAATTTCAGCAAATGTTCTAAAAACAGATAATTGAACCATTGACGAATGAACACTTTGAAAAGCATGCTGTATTTACTGTGAGCCAACATAGTTTCCCTCAAAAAGTAATGGCAGATAGTTCATAACTTCTTTTTTGGATAAAATTTCAAACTTGGTAAATCAGGGGAATTCTGTAGATGAAGTGTACAGTATCTTGATTTCAGCAAGACTTTCAATATGGTCAGCTAACAATATGGTTATTGACAAATTGGTAAGATGTAGGCTAGACAACGCTAATTTGTACCTGTTGCTGGACTGCACCTAAAGAGTGCTCACTAGATGTTCCTTGTCATCCTGGAGAGAATTAATGAGTGAAGGGTTATAAGGTTCAATATCATCATAAATGTTGTTCTATATCATCACAAATGACTTGTGTGAAGGAATAGCTGGGGGTCTTCATTACAGTTGCAAGTGACATTAAACTGGGAGAGTAGCTAGTACTTCAGATTACAGAAGCAAGGTTCTGGATAACTTTAACAGGAGGACTAAACCAAAGAAACAAAATGAATTTCAACAAAAAAGTGAATTTCAACATTTAGGCAGGAAAATGAGATGCACGGATTAAAGATGGGTAGCACTTCACCCAGGGATGATGCATGTGGGAAAGATTCAAGGGTATTAGCAGACTATAAGTCAGTAGCATGATACAGGAGCAAAAAAGCTAATGCAGGTCTAGCTTACATAAACATAATTACAGTGTGTAGATCAAGGGAAGCAATAGTACCACTGTGTCCTGTTTTGGTCAGATTTTATCTGGAATACAATGGCCAGTCCTAGACACTACAGTTTAAGAAGGATAGGGACAAGCTGAAACATGTCCAAGGGATGACAATCAAGATAGTAGAGTACAGTAAAGAGAAATAAGTCCTAGGAGAAATAGTTGAGGGGGCTGAGTATCTTTAGCTTGGAGAAAAGACAATTTGGAGATAGTATAAGAGCTAGTCCAAATATTTAAAGACACCTGTCATACTCAATTGCTGAAGAGAGGTTGAGCATATCTAAGGTTCACAAAGCTTTACTGGCAAAGTTCTCTTTTCACTGCGTGAGACTAGCATTATACCCCACCTATCTAGTCATTTCGACCACTCTAGGCGGCTGAAAAGTTCTCTTTTCAGTGCGTGAGACTAGCGTGAGAGCTTATTTTCTGCTGCTGGACAGGACCTGAATCAATGGATTCAGGTTACATGAAAGGAGACTAAACATTAGGAAGAACTTCCTGGTTATAGAGCTGTTTAACAGTGGAACAAGATCTGGATGGTCAACTGCCAGGGGTGCCTGACGTCCCTTCCATCTAGGATTCTATGATTTTAACCCATACACAAAATATGTTTTAAACTTGTTTTGATTTACTTTTATGTTTCTGAAAGGCATAGTTTTACTGTTTCTTTCTATGTAAATGTTAACTTCTTACTTTTTCATTTCTTGTACAGAAGACCTTCTGAAAGGAGCACTTCTTTCCATTATAATCCTTATGATTCCACTCCTTACAATTCCCATGAAGGTGACAGTGTGGAAGACGGAAAGGGGCAAAATTCATCCATACTTTTACCCATGAGTTCAATGAGGATTCAGAACTCTGGGTCTGAGTACAGCCCAAGAGGCCTTGCATTTGAGATCTCCAGTTCAAACCCTTATGGAAATGAACACAGTACGTAGCTTCATTGTCTGTCTGTTTTTCTATCTGTTTCGATTTCTGTTTATGTGTGCATGTATTCATGTATCTGTAATATAAAAATTTGCTTCATGCTTGTTCTTCTGTAGCCCAGAGATAGAGAAGTGTGCATGGCTAACCTTACTGACTGGCTGTCTGAGAGGATTTTATTTTTATCTGAATATGTGCATTTTAATGATTCGTAACAATGAACTCTGTAAGTATGCATATGCAGACTCACATGGGTGTTCTGAAAAATGAGGGAAAAACTCTTTATCAGTAGAAGCATACCTAGTCCCTCATTCTGTTCCTAAAATGGCAAACATCTGCCTCTGCTGAGCTGACCAGCTTTGTGGTGAAAAACTTCGGTCTGGGCTGTTACTATTTCAGATTGTATGGGCATATATGAGTGTTCGTCTGTACCAGAAAGTAGAAACCATTTAAAATTCTTTTCTCTATATAATTGCCATATGATGAAGAACAAGTACAGCTTACCTGTATTACCAGTTCTTTGTGCTGATCAGGAAAAAGGAAGGGTGATGAATTAATCCTTTCCACCTGTTAGACTGCAGCAAATAAAAATGAGTTGTGTGACAGCTTTCAGGCTAAAAGTTTTATTTTGGAATGGACTTCCGTGGAGAGATAGCTCAGTTTTTCAGACTGTTTGGTCTGTTTTTCTTGTTGCTACATGACACATTGGTATTTTGAATTAGTTCTTTCCTCTTCTTTCATTTTCAACAGCTAATCCTTCATTTGAATACGAGCCAGAATTTGCACAGCCATTACCTACTGGTAACACTACTTTGAATCATCATACTAAACACGGACCTTCTGATGCATCTGATGGAGGTAAGGTTTCCTGGAGACATTGCTGGATAGCTGGCTTCACAATTGCTTGCTCAGCAAAGCAGGTTTCATTGTGATTCGATTCTGTAATGTTTTCTAAGAAAACAAGGCAAGGAGCTTTTGCTTATGAAAAGAGCTATAACTGGATTGGATTCAGAGTCAGACACATGCAACTGGAGTACCTCAAAGAGACAGGTCTGCTATCTTCTTCCCACTTAATCATTCTGCTCCGTGGGGGTCTTGACTTTTCCCTCAAAGTCCTATCCTGATGGAAGCACTTCTGGCATCTACCCTAAAGAAGAAAGATTGCATTGCACTGAACTGCCCCATCTCAGAAGCAAAGAATAGGAGTGATATTTTGAACTCATTGGAGCGTTTTGCATCAGATTCAAATGATGTCAGATGCAAAACCTCTCCTAAGATTTGGACTCAAATGATGTCAGAGGCCTGCGTCATAGAAACAGAGACCTGCCCAAAACGTGATTATGGTACAAGAGAAGGCAAAGTGATTCAATGCCTGGGTGTG